TGTGTGTTTCGAATTGCGTGCATGGCCCAAAATGACCCAACTCTCACAAGATCAAAGGAGCGCACAAATATTCAACATAGACAAAAACTTCTTCTTGTTCCCAAAAAAACCCAACACAAGAGCTACCCTGTCCTACCAAAATCACAGCCAAAATGTAAATCAGCTGTTACGCATGCGCTGCCTACAACGGCGGGAAACTGAAAAGAGCAGGCTAGGCACGAACAGGCACGTGCATGATATTACCATCATCAATAAAACCGCACAGCACAGGGGTAGCTACACTTGGGATGAGAACAGGCCAAACATCATGAATGAGAAGCGGGAGTCACTCGGCCACACAGACCAATGAAACACAACAGATAGTCTATACACAACATTCCTCCCCCTTTAGCAAACATGCAAATAGCAGGGAGCGAAAACTACATACACCCAGAAGAGCAAAAAAAAACAAAAACAACGAAAAACAAAAGGCAAAAACAAGTATATGCCACACCAGCATCTTGCCAGGAAAAACAAAAGAGCATAATGTGTACTTCCTCCGATAGAACTAGCTCATCAGGACCGAAACTATCGAATACCTTTGCAACCCACTCGTGCTGTAACACGCATAACATGATTCCTATCACCCATAGCTCTAACAGTACCACACAGCATGAAATATGGCTAGCAGATATTTTATTTCATTATCACTGATCAGCCAACGTCTTCGGTATTAGAATCAGTTACTCAGTACTTAGCTCGGGGCGATGAGTTTCACTTCACAGGTCACGCATCTTCACGACCGACTCCAAGCTGTTAACTCGGTCACTCGACGGCTCCACTTCCAGAGGCACAAGGTAGCGAACATGCCGACGGTAGACTTTTCCCCGGATGTTGACATCCACCACACGTGTCGCTCCGTCCTTGCCTGGGTAGACGGCTTCCACTCTTCCCAATGGCCACTTTGCTCGTGGAAGATGGTCGTCGAGGCATAGCAGAACATCTCCAACCTGAGCTGACCTCTGAGCACGTTGCCACTTGGTAGTCAGGTTCAACCGTGAGACAACCTCTCTCTTCCAGCGCCTCCAAACTACCTTCAGTAAATGCTGGATGATGTCGAAACGCCGATGAGGATGAGCTCGCTCAGCCAACTCTGCCTGTTCCTCCAGTGGACTCGTGACTCGAGCGTGTCCCACCAGAAAATGGTGAGGCGTCAATGGCTGAGGGTCCGCGGCATCAGTAGAAACCGCAGTTAGTGGCCTAGAGTTGAGTAACCCTTCCGCCTGAACAAGAGCAGTATGCAGTTCCTCATCGGTAAGATCCGCTTTATACAAGACTGTCTGCAGTACTTGTTTCAATGAGCGAACGACCCGCTCAAACACACCACCAGTGTGAGGCGCCCTCGGGGGGTTAAAAACCCACTGTGTCCCTTGGGCTGCCAACGCTGCTGAGACATCACCAGTACCAAGACTCTGTACAGCTTCACGCAACTCCCGCTCTGTCCCGACGAAATTCGTCCCATTATCTGAGAGGATCATGGTTGGGGTTCCACGGCGCTTGGTGAAGCGTACCAGGGCCATTTTAAAACCGTCCGTGTCTAAGGAGTACACTACCTCGAAATGGCAAGCCCTGGTTTGCAGGCATGTGAAGATCGCTGCATACCGCTTTTCCTGGACACGTCCGCGGCCACGTTTTACGTAAAACGGCCCAGCAAAGTCGACTGCTGTACGTGAGAAGGCGAGTAGCTGACCTTCGGTTCTGAAATTGGGTAGCGGACCCATCGCTGGTGAGTACGGCTTGTTCCACAAACGTTTACAGCCGACACAGGCCTGACGATACCGCTTTACCGTCTGTCTCCCCTTTACGATCCAGAACTTGTCAGCTAGCTTCGATAGCAGGTGGTTGGTACCAATCGAGTGTGAGCATTGCCGATCTTCTTCTGCAATGACCAATTCCGTCACCCGATGCTTCTGAGGTAATATCAAGGGACACCGAAACTCACTGGCCAGATGATGAGCCGTCCTCAGTCTCCCGCCAACTCGTAACACCGGGACTTCAGCGCTGCTGTCCAGGAACGGCCGCAGCTTGACAAGAGGTGATGAGGATGGTAGTTCCTTGCCGTTCATCAGAGTGTGGTACACGTCTGGGTACTGGTCTCACTGTGATCGCGCCACCCAATACTGCTCAGCACTGTCAACCTCTGCTGCTGAAAGCTCCGGCACATTAAGAGAAGAACATTGGCTGCCCAAGTTCACTTCAACCACGGGGGCCTCCCCCGTGCTGGTATAAGCTTGTTCTCCAGCGCGGGCTGACCTGAGGCAGTGGATAAACCGGCGACACCAGGCTGTTACACGTAGGAGATGAGGCCACGCAGAGTAGTTCCCGGGGTCCAGTCGAGTCTCAGCAGGATGACACTCAACTGCATGTAGGCTGACCATGGCAGTAGCTACCTTGGATACTTGCATGCATGGAAGGACGGAGGGCACGGCAATCATTTTCTTTGGCCACTGGTCAGCACCGAAGGAGAGGAATCGAGGCCCATACCACCACGTTCCCCGTTCCACGAGTTGCTGGGCAGAGAGTCCACGAGTAGGAAGATCAGCGGGATTCTCCTTTCCGGGAACATGCTGCCACTGCGCAGGACGCGAAAGACGCTGGATTTCTGAAATGCGGTTGCCGACGTCAACCTTAAACTTTCTACTGAGCGAGCGAACCCAGTAGAGGACGTTCATCGAGTCTGTCCAATAGTTGACGTCATCTGTTCCAACACCAACCGCTCCACTGACGTACTGACCCAGGCGTGCACCGAGTACTGCACCCTGCAGCTCAAGCTGAGGGATCGTTCGCCGCTTGATGGGAGCCGGCCGCGCCTTTGCCATGATCAACGTGACACGTGCTCCGCCATCACTCTCCGCCACTCGCACATAAGCTGCTGCGGCATATGCCAATGCGGAAGCGTCCGTGAACACATGGACGGTGATGTCATTGACCCAATCATCTCCCTTGAAACAGCGACGGATCTTGAGGTGAGAAAGAGTGTCGAACTCACTAAACCACCGGCTCCATGAAGCAAGATGAGCATCTGGCAGCGTGTCGTCCCAGCCGATTCCAGAGAGACATAACTCTTGGAACATTATCTTGGCCCTTATGGTGAATGGCGACAGCTGACCCCTTGGGTCGAACAATGTTGCCATGCGGCTCAAGACTGACCGCTTCGTAAACACTGTCGGAGATGATCCCTTGTAGTGGAACGTGAAGTAGTCCCCCTTGACCATCCACTTCACACCTAAGGCTTTCTGGGACACCTCAGGATGCGAGGGGCTCTCTGCAATTGACCTGGACTCTGCCGCGGCCCGCTCCTCAGCAGGAATAGACGCCATGACCTCCGGGCTGTTGCTTAGCCACTTACGTAGCGTGAACCCGCCACGCTTCAAGAGGGCCTGAGTCTCCACTCGAGCAAGAATCGCCTGCTGTACGTCACGTAGCGACTTGAGAAGATCATCGACATAGAAGGAGTCCCGCACAATGTCGCTGGCAATAGGATCATACTGGTCTCCAAAGCGCTCGGCAGTAGCTTGCAAGGCTTGTCCAGCCAAATAGGGTGACGCCTTGATCCCGAAGACCAGCCGCATGAATTCGTACGTCTCAACTGTTTCGCCAGGCTGCCATAGGAACCGGTGGTATCTTCGGTCTTCTGGGGAAAGGGACACCTGGAGAAACATCTCCGAAACATCGCCCATCAGTGCGATAGGCTCAAGGCAGAAGCGAATCAGGAGCTTCACGAGGTCGGCCTGCAGTTTCGGTCCAGCCAACATCAAGTCGTTCACAGCAACATTATTTGCTCTGGCGGCAGCATCAAAAACAACGCGGACTTTAGTCGTTGCCTTATCCTCCCGTATAACAGCGAAATGCGGCAGATAACACTGTGATGAGCCGCATTGTTCAACTTCCTCAGTTGTCAGTTTCCGGATGTAGGACTTCTGCAGGTAGTCTTCCAGGACCTTCGCATACCTTGGCAGCATACCTGGCCGTCGCTGCAGCGATCGCATGAGTGCGCGGAGTCGGTTCTCAGCCAGCACCTTGTTGCTCGTGACATCAGGCTGCTTGGCGCCGTCCTTCCAGGGGATTCCGACTTCAAACCGACCGTCCTTGTAGTTCAGGGTTCGCTGAGTTGAAGTCACCGCTTGCTGCTCGTCCGGAGTCAAGTACTGGTCTGACTTTGGTAACATTCCAACCGCTTCAAGATCCCAGAAACGACTCACCAGGTGGTCCAAATTGGTACCAGCAGTGGTCACCGCATGGAACGTCGAATGCGTCGGTGTGGATGGACATAGTACTGGCCCAAAACAGACCCATCCGAGAGGAGTCTTCCGAGCAATAGGGTCACCATCGCCTCCATGACGTTCCTCATCCGCACGGTGAAGCACTGGTGAGTTCAAGCCAATCAGCAAGTCGAGGTGATTGTCTCCTGCTGTCTTGAACGATACGTCACGAAGATGTGCCCAGTTGTCCTGAATCTCCTTCCAGTTCACCAATCGCAGATCCGTCGTTACTCTGGGCAGGACATATGCCTCAAGCTCCGTAGCCTTGTCACCACCATCATGCTGGACCGCTAGCGTCACCACTTGGAGAGTGTCGTTAATTGCGCCACCACCGATAACGCCGACCGACACTTTCTTCCTGCTCCCCCCTAGACGGAGACGCCTAGCCAGACGCTCTGAGACATAGCTGCACGAGGATCCTGAGTCCAGGAGGACGTTGGCTGTAGCCTTCGCTGTACCACCTCTGACTTCTGCCTGCGTGACCATAAAGGATGTTAGCCCAGCATTGGAGTCGTCTGTAGCTGCTGTTGCATGCGCCGTGTTTTCACTCGCAGCCGGACTGGTGGACGCAGCTGCCTTACTGGAGGGCAGTGATGGCTTTGACTCGTGCAGAAGCGAGTGGTGCTTGCCACGGCAGTGAGGGCAACCGGAAGCAGCATTGCAGTCACGCGCCCAGTGACCTTCTCTTAGGCAGCAGAGACACAAATTCAGTAGACGAACCAGCTCGTTACGTCTCGACGTTGAGAGTGCCTTGAACTCATTGCAGTTAGCGAGCTGATGCGGACCACTACACTTGCGGCACCTCTGTCGTGCTTGCTGCTGTGTCTTTGAGTGGCCAGACGTCTTGATCGGAGCTTCTTGAGGCCTTTTTGGCGCCGTAGCTTCAGTGCCTATGAAAGACCGTTGCTGCACGGGGCGCTGAACAGCTTCATGATGCCTTTTTCCATGGGAGGGTTGACGGTCTGGCTGCTCGGTACGGTCATTGGCATACTTTGCCGTCTTCACCTTTTCTAGTAGCCAGGTGGCAAACACCTTGATGTCGGTGTTACCGTCTCCGTGCCTCTCAAAATACCTGATGAGCGTTGTCCTCGGCACCTTTTCGGTAGCAATGATGCACAGCTCAGGGCCCGGTTCAGAGCCGCACAGCTTCATGTTGGCGATTAGGCTGCGTAGCTTGACCGCATACTGCTGCAGACCCTCCACGTCCCTTTCGTTAGTGACTCGGGGATGGTTGAGCAGATCTCGGATTTGTTGCTCCAAGTGTCGATCTGTGCCACCAAACCAAGACTCCAGCTCCGCCCACGCGGCGTCATATGCTCCGGGGCCGTCCAGAAGGTCTTCAATGAGGATAGCGGCTTCCCCGCCAGCAACGGCCTCGCGAAGGCGAGCCAGTTGGTACTCCTCAGGCAAAGATGAGTCGGCTACTTGCAAGAACCTCTGCCGCCATTGGATGTAATCGCGCCCTTTTCCACTGAACTTCGGCACTTCTATTGGCTTCAACCAAGAATGCCCATATGGACTGATGTGTGGAGCAGCAGGCTGTGCATACTGAGTCTGATATTGACTGTGAGCACTAGGCGCGGCTGCCTGTGCAGAAGGCCGGTAAGCTCTTGGTGCAACACTGCGTCTTGGAGATGGAAATGCAGTCTTAGCTGCGTGAGCTGAGGGTAGTGGTGGAAGAACTGATGATGAAAATGCAGTAACAGGCTTGGCGTGAGGACGTTGCTGTACAGAAGGCATTGCTCTCGCTCTGAATGCTCCACCACCCTGCCCTTGAGTTTGACTGGGTGCTCCACTCACAACTCTGTTCACTGCGACTCCAGGTGTACCAGTACCACTACCTGCACTAGCAACGTAGGCAGCACTAGACACTTGAGTAGCGGAGTGTTGATGATGTTGAGGCTGTCCCACAAGCACACTACTCTGAGTAACACTAGCAGTTGTGAATGTAGCTGCATGCACAGCGTGACCTGGAGGTTGCAACGAGGATCGAGTTCCAGAGCTAGTATCAGCGCTGCTGCCCCTGCCTTGCATTCCTGGACTGCCTCTAAGTGCTAGTGCACCTCTGGCCCTAAGCCTGCTATCAGGGTAATCACCCACTGTCCCATCATCTTGAGCAGCTCCATGAATGGCATGATCCCTTTGATCAGCAGCAGCGGCAGCAGGCGTTTGCCAGGGAACAGCAGTGCTGCATCCGTCAGTGACGCCACTGTGATACATACCAGTACTATACATAGTCACTACTGATGCATCATCATCACTACAAGCTCTCAGGCTGGAACTGACACCAGGGTCTCCAGAAAACTCCGTTCCTCCGTCATCAGCACTACGTGGCGCGCTGTGGGCAAAATCTTCGCCCTCTAGCTCTTCCTCTAGAGGCTGCGCTGACAAGTCACCATCGCCACTGGGCTGACTGGCTGACTCCAAAACTCCTGACTCAAGGAGCGAACTAACTTCTGCCAGCGGAGAACAATCCTCGTTCAACTTCTCAAACCACTTTTCCAACTTCTCCAATCCTTCAAAATCTGCATCGTCTCGCAATTGATTCCTGTGGTCCTCGACCACTTTTTCGATTTGTTTTACTATTCCTTCGGCGTCAGCCAGGTACTTTTTGAGGTACCTCGCACTCGGCGACGACTTCCCATACTCCGTGTTCAATACCTTCAGCAGGTTGGTCAGTCTTCTCCGCAGGGAGGCACGAAACTTTACATAGTCGTAAGTCACACTTTGGGCTGGAGGTGCCTGCGAGCTGGTCTCCGGAGCGTCAGCTTCGGTGTCCTGCCCATGCTCGCCAGACAGCTCTC